CAAGATGATTTCGTACATCGCGAACGTTCGCATTCCTCGCTGCTATTTCCCAGAAGCGTCAGCACGTTCGTATGAAGTTACTGAACTTCATGTCTTCGTAGATGCCAGTCCGCTTGCGTATTCCTGTGCGCTGTACCTGAGGACAATCACCGCTGATGGCACACCCCAGTGCACACTGATCGCAGCGAAGGCGAAAGTGGCACCACTCAAGCCAATGACTATACCGAAGCTGGAACTTCAAGGATGTCTCCTGGGAACAAGAATGATTAAGTTCGTGCAAGCCAACCACTCCATTACCATCAGAAGACGAGTACAGTGGACGGACAACTCCGTTGCGCTTTCGTGGATGCGCGCAGATCCGAGAAACTATCGACCGTTCGTGGCCAACCGGGTCGGCGAAATTCTCGAAAATACAACAGTCGATGAGTGGAGATGGGTTCCGTCGGAGTCTAACGCAGTAGATGAGGCAACAAAGTGGGGAAGTGGACCCTACTTCAGTAGCGACAGCAAGTGGTTCAACGGACCGGAGTTCTTGCGCTTTCCGGAACATGAATGGCTGAATTCTACGGATCTAGTCGTGGATACCGCCGTAGAAGTTCGATCATCAGTACTCTTTCACACCACTTGGCAACCTTTGATCGCCTACGAGCGGTTCTCTAAATGGGAGAGGTTGCAGCGTAGTATGGCTTACGTGCTACGATTCATTTTCAACGTAACCAAGAAGTGAGAAAAACGCAGTGGTCGATTAACTCAACAGGAGCTGGATGATGCCGAAAATGAAGTTCTGAAGCAGGTCCAAAGAGAAACCTTTGCAGATGAGGTAACGACGCTGAAGAATAATCAAGTACTACCGGAAGCCAAGAAGGAATCGATTGACAGATCGAGCATCGTTTACCAACTGATGCCAATGATGGATGAACGGGGTTTGATGCGTCAAAACAGCCGGATTGCAGCGGCGAAGGATATTCATCACAGCGTGCGCTTTCCAGTAATCCTGCCAAGAAAGCATCGGTGCACGGAACTTCTGGTCGCACGCTATCATCGGCTCTACCGTCATGCAAACTCCGAAACGGTAGTGAACGAAGTCCGCCAGCTGTTCATCATACCGAAACTGCAATCGGTGGTAAAGCAGATCGGATGAAGCTGCCAATTCTGCAAAATTCGTAAGGCACTTCCACCTATTCCTCCGATGGCACCACTGGCACCAGCACGGTTGGCCATTCACGACCGTCCATTCAGTTACGTAGGAGTGGACTACTTCGGCCCATTGTTAGTCAAGCAGGGCCGCTCGAATGTAAAAAGGTGGATTGCGCTCTTCACTTGCTTGACTGTGCGCGCGCCGTTCACCTCAAAGTGGCGTACAGCCTGTCAGCTGCGTCGTGTATTTCCTGCATCCCACGATTTGTCTGCCGCCGAGGATCGCCTGTGGAGTTTTTCAGTGATAACGCTACAAACTTCCACGGGGCTGAACGACAGCTTCGTGATCAGATCGACGAAGGAGCATCAGCAACGTTCACCAGTGCCAACACGAAGTGGACCTTCATTCCGCCAAGCGCTCCGCACATGGGCGGTGCATGAGAGCGACTCGTCCGTTCAGTGAAGGCGGCGATAGGGGATGCGTACCACCACTCACCACTCACGTACTTACCACTTGATTCTGCGGAATCTGAATCGCTTACTCCGAACTATTTCCTGCTGGGGAGCTCTAACGGGGTCAAACAGCCAAGCGTGTGTATCGAGCCTCAACAGGGGGTTTCTCGGGACTTGTGGAACCACATCCAGCGGCAGCTCAACCGATTCTGGCAACGCTGGCTGAAGGAGTACTTGCCGGTGATGAGGAGGCAGATCAAGTGGTACGATGAAGCCCGGTGCGTGCAAGATGGAGACTTGGTGTTGATAGCGGATGAGGGCAAGCGGAATGGCTGGACTCGCGGGATCGTGATTGAGTCGATCAGAGCACTGGATGGTCACGTGCGCCAGGCTATGATCAAGACTGCGGGAGGAGTTCTTCGTCGGCCGGTATCGAAACTGGTGGTACTCGATGTTTCAAGTAGCAGTGCGGTCATTGAGGCCAGTGGACCGCACTCGGGGGAGGATGTTAGCACAGGGACATCGACTGATTGAACGGTTGAATTGGCAACCCGGCCGTCTGAACATCACGACACGAGCGGCGAGTCTACGCGCAACAAACTCTCTGTGTCGAAACGTCAGTCTGCAGGAACGAAAAAGAAAGAATTGAACCAGATACACGCGGGTGAAAAATTACTATAGAAAGTTAAATTAGTTAATCTTACTTACATCTAGCTTAAATCTAAATAGTTATTACGGCTAGTGAAGGATTATACAGCAAACGGTTGAATGCTGACCAGAAAGGCCATTCGAGCGAAAATCGCCACTGAATTATTTGAAGCACACACACAAAATTAAATATATAAGCTGTTCGGATATCAGTGCGGGCCTTTCACTTCTCAGCGATTCAACCATTTTTGTAAAGTACACACTTAGAAGTAGCTACTTTTAAGCGAGACGTAATCCTTATTGGACGTTAATCATGGAACGTAAACAAATATTTTATGTAAAATTAAGTGTTTCAAATCCGAAACATAAGCAACTCGACGAAGAGACCGTTTGATTGAATTTGTCTGCCAAAAGGGCCGGTTACATGTGTCGGTCTCAGAAAACCAAAATTTATACGACATTTTCGTAGTGTGTAACTATACCTAACCACCCTTTCCCCATATGGTATACAGTTCGAAAAAGTAGTGTAAATTTCTGTTCAATATGATGCACATAAATGGAGCGTCACATATCATATACCTACGTTTAGATTATACATCATGACACATTCTGACACATTTCATGCAATGTAGCAAATATTGTATACAAAAGCCCATCTTTGTAAACAACATTGTCTGCAAGTTGCTCGGATGCGTGAAATGAAATACGAGTCTACGTGAATGAATGTTTACATCACAATTAAAATTCAGGTTTTTTATCTGGGTACATTTGCCAGTTACTATATACTGAATCATGAAAACTGTCTACACACATAGAAACACCTAACCTTACAAGTGACGGAATCCATCTTTGACATAAAGGATGAGACGTAAACAAACTTGTCATGTAAAATTAAGTGCTCCGAAACTGAAAAGTTCGTTTGATTGAGCTGAATTTCACGTCTATTGTGACTCAATTTTATGTCAAAATTGACGCTCGTATATGTCAGTCTCACATCACCTAAATTTACATACAATTTTCTAAGAGCTATCATATGTTGCTTTCAGAGCACCTAAATTTACATGAGTCTTTCTGAGTGTCTCTATAGACGTCCAACAATTTCGGTAGGTAAGCGTGATTACCTCTTGTTTGGTCAGGATACGACTAGGCCCTACGTTGTGGTTTTACAGTGTGATGGAAATCGGCAAGGCGAAGACTTTTACAGAGTTTAATTAAAACACTGCTATTATTTACCACTTGGTTCACTGTTTTATTGCCTCCGAAAGGCTACTGCCTGCTCGGAGGAGGAAGGAATAACTTAAACTATTCACCAAAAAATGAGTCCTTAAATATTAATCCCGAACAATAAACTCACTCACAATAATTATTTACAACTAAAAACAACCATACAAAAAAAAAAGGTAAACAATAACAAATGCATACAAAACACTATGATACAGACAATGTGGATCGCATCGCTACCATCGTGCCGGGGGGCTTTTACTGGTAACGCTTTATATATTCAAATGCCGTAGAGCCCGGCACCGATGGTGCGATCCAACACCTCTCACCCCAAAAAGCCTACACACTTAGAAATACCTAATTTTACACGTGACGGAATCCATCTATGACATTAAAGATGAAATTATGTGCTCCGAGACTAAAAAGTTCGTTACTCGACGAATAGTACGTTTGATTGAGCTAAATTTCGCGTCTATTATGACTCAATTTTATGTCAACATTGACACTCGTATATGTCAGTCTCAGAGCATCTACATTTACATGAATTTTTTTAAGTGTGTAGGTTAAATCCCAGTCGGTGTGTTTACACGCCTGGTCCAATTTGAAAATTTCACAAAAGATAGCATGTTTTATACGATTTTAATGACAGCCATTAAAAATATGGTAATTTTTCGTTATTAAGTTTTAATCAATTTTCTTTTCCAAAAAACTAAATAAATTTTTCCTTCAACATTTAACTTTCTACTTTTGAGATTTGATTTGTTGGAAAATTTTGAATACGCTATTTGGTAGTTTTTTTTTGCGCGATTCAAAATGACTGAATGTTAGCTCAAATGTGAAAGATTGACCATAACAAACAATAATGCATTTGGCGTGGAACTGCTCTATAGCATGTTTCTAGGCTGTGTTCCATAAGGTGAATTTTCATTTAAAATTTACACTTCGAAAATAAATAATAATATTTGACAATCCTTCTGTTTTGAAAAGGTGTTTGTCAAAAATGATTCCTTGTCGGTCAGAAATAAATCTAATAGTAGGTTTATTTGAAAATTTTCCATCTGTCAAATTAAAGTAAAAAATTCTCAAATGGAACATAGCCTTACTATCCGGTAAGTTCTTCGTTTTGAACATCCCGTGTGCACTTTACATACAGTTTCCATCATTTCTGCCAGCTGTTTAATATTTGACTTATAAATAAACGGAAAGTTTGTTATCATCGTTATTGTGATTGTCACTTGCGGTGTGGGATGACACTATTCCAGCAGTCGCGAGAAGCGACGGCCACGACGACAACGACGTGTTCAGACGAAAATAAGTTTTGCCCGATTGCTACTATTTTGGGATGTGTTGCTGGATAATGGAAAACTTCTAGTCTTCCGAAGGCCCCTCAGTACCATTCGCTAGCAACAGCAAACAATCTTATTCTGCAACATGCTAGTGTGCCCAAGTGCGTGATTCCATGAACGGTTGGGGAAGACGAGACGCGCCGAATAGTGTCCCTCCCCCCTCTCTCATGTATGCACATTCTACATAGAACTTACTTGTGGGAAAAGTTGTAGCAGTCCCAGGATGAATATTGCCATCGCCATCGATGTGGCGGAGCAGAATTGCATTTTTAAAAAGGTCACACAGCATCTCCGCTGGTACAGGATCGGCAGCATGATGGCGAACGCGATGCACGATTGCAGGAAGCAACATCCGCAGCTTATCACCACCAGAATCGGTCGGGTTGAGGTTTTCGTAACCGATGCCTGCAGTGGCAGTAGTATGTACCACGATGGTTGCCGTTGTTGTTTTTGTTGTTGTATTACCATGTTGGCAGGTTGGCACCCAGTCGGTCGTTTGTTGTTTGATGAGGTTTGGCCATGTAGAAGAAAGTTCCATCGGGAACAGCACGATGTGAAAGAGAAGAAAGTAGAAAAATCGGTTAGTATCAGAAAGTGCGCGCTACCGTTCTTTCCAAAAGCGAGGGCAATTTTCCTCCCTTTCGATTCAGAAGGACGTTTTTTTTTTCCCCAACCCAGAAAGGGCGATTGCGGTTCGAGAATACGAACATAAAATGTAACGAGAATGGGTTGTCAGCGGAAAGAAATGCCGTTGAAAAAGTAATCTTTTCTTCAATTATTTAAAAAGTGAATGTGGAGCTGTGGCGAAGCTGAGTACCGTGCCGTGCTGGCTTAATTTTAGAACGTACAAATTGTTGAATGCAGTGCTTGCAGTTCCGCTAGGAATATGGGAAGAGTTTTCAAAGTTTTATTGCCAAAGTTAGAACATCAAATCACTAATGATTTACATTTTGCTTGGTTTTGGAATTGATCTGAATGGAACTAGTATGCCGTTTGAGTTGCTGGAATTGTTTGCAGTACAGGCGGAATTTTAGATTCAGCCACGATGGAGATTGCTAACAATCTGACCATTCCATCTGGTCCAGAATCAGAGGAGGTAAATGTCATAGAAATTGTATGAGGAAGAAATTTAAAAATGCGTTTGTAAGCAATGGCTTTAACCGTTGATTTTTTGCGAATAAAAACTCACATATGTAATGTAACGACACTGATTTTTTGGGGGCACCTTAATTTAAACTAGAAGAATAGATCTAGCATGGTCAAATGAAAAGCTAGATAAATGATGTTTTCAGCTTAGTTGCTTGTTGTTTACACCTGTGCAAGAGAATTTAACCACCTATAACTTTAAACAAAAAAGTTAGATTCCTGATTTGATATAAAATGAGGACCATCCTCATTTTTATAAAAAGAAGACCTATTGAAATATAAAGAACTTCTATGAAGACTAGGGTGGTCCAACATAACGCTTTTTTAAATCTGGGGGCTCAACCTTTGATTTATTGTCAAGAGTGTTTTCGAGTTATGACCAGTGCTGCATACTGGCAATAATATCAAATGACGTAAGATATTGGTCTAGCACTGAATTTCACTTTCGACACTGATATTGGTAGCAAGCATGATATCAGGCGGTACGGGTTTGATATTACTATCCATATGAATATCATTAGAAAAAAGTTGAAAATCTTACTTTTATCTCAGTACATCAACTTTTTTTTATTATTACTGATGAGTTTTCGTGGGGCTTCCCTTAGCTCAGTCGGTAAAGGCGCAGCTACAAAACAAGACCATGCTGGAGGCGGCTGGGTTCGATTCCCGGTCCGGTCTAGGAATTTTTCGGGTTGAAAAATTTCTCGACTTCCCTGGGCATAGAAATATGATTGGACTTGCCACACAATCATATCAATGCAAAAATGGTACAGGCATCGAAAGCTCTCAATTAATAACTGTGGAAGTGCATCTAGAACACTAAGTTGAGAGCACGCAATAAGCTAATATGCGATATGCAATAAGCTTGAAATGCGAAGAAGAAGAAGAAGAAGAAGAAGAGTTTTCTAAAGATCGGTACTCGATTACCTGGCGTATATAAGAAAAAAATGCGGTAGACTTTTGAATATCAGTGGTCTCTTTACGATGTCGATGTCATTTGCGCACTGACATTGAGGAGAAGGATATTGATATTATAATGGTGTGAAATGATGCTGACATCAAGTAGCTAGTGATACTCAGCATTTTGCAGGTATTGATATTGATATTTTTCAGCACTGGTTTGACTTGTTGAAAAATCTAGAATACGCCATTTTGAAGATTTTATTTTTAGATTCAAAATGGCCTACACACTTAAAAATAACTACTTTTACACGAGACGTAATTCATATTGGACGTAAATCATAGAACGTAAACAAACATTTCATGTAAAATTAAGTGTTCTCAAACCGAAACATCAGCTAGTCGACGAAGACAACGTTTGATTGAATTGATTTTCACGTTTTTTTCAACTGATTCTTATGTCAAAAGGCCCGCTTACATGTGTCGGTCTCAGGGAACCGAAATTTACATGACTTTTTAGTAGTGTGTTATTTAAAAAATATATATTCAAATGATTGACTGTTATGGTGGAATGTTTCATGCAAATCGGAGTAGGTCGAGCCAGGTACTCATTTTTTTTTGGTATTTGCCCTGGAAATGCTCTTTACCTGGTGCTAACAATGCAGTTTCGAAACGGCAGTTTAGAGTGGAAAATTTATTTACTCCGTTTCTATTCATCACTCTATTCATCACTCCCGGAAATCCCGGGATCCCGGGAAGTGAACTAGGATAGTAAATTTCAAAGTGTTTTTATGTTACTTCATACGCGAAGTTAATGATTTTCAGAGTTGGTTGGAAATGCTAACATTAAGCTTTAGTGTGATAATTTATTAGCTAGAGAATGATCTTTAGAAGAGGGTAGGTGGATAGTTCCGTTAGAGTACGGCAGTATGAACATTTAATAAAAGTATAAAATGAGCGAAGGGTCATTAATGCGACAGTACAAAGTCAAACGCACACCTTTTGCCTAACCCGTACGATGTACGCGGAGACTTGAAGTATGACTTCAAGTTTGCAGGCTAAAGATGTGCGTCCTCCTTTTACTTATAACTGACTGCGGCTGTGGAATAGTTCTAGTGACGTTTCATCACTACCTAAAGCCCCACGTTTGCGAGAGAATTTCCAGTCGATGGTGTGTTATAATGCAATTCTTCTTTACCCAACTGTTGTGTTGCTCCTCTCGTTGCATTAATGGCCCTTCGCTCATTTTCAACTTCTATTCAATTTTCATACTGCCGTACTCTAACGGAAATATCCACCCACCCTCTTCTAAAGATCATTCTCTAGCTAATAAATTATCACACTAACGTTTCATGTTAGCATGCGATAGTGAATTGCTTCATCTCCTTCGAAGAAAGATTAAAAAATGGAGATTCCTTCAATACTAGGGACAACAGATTTAATGACATATCTTCATTTTGAAGACATTTAAGATTCTGTGAAGGTTTTTTTTTAATGCAGTTGTGAAGTTGTTTCAAGACATGCGAAAGCTGAAGCAGGCTTCCGATGATTTTTTTTTAAATTTTAAGCTGGCATATGAAGATTTTTGTTAGATAAATGAAGTTTTTGACTTCATATTTTAAGCTTCTTCCTGAATATGTTGAATATGAATAATGCAACCAAAATCGGATATTTTAAAATACAACTTAATCCAATTGAATATTCACAGGACTTCACTGAAATATTCGATTAGCTGGAGATCTTTTGAATACTTCCTGATCAACGTACAGTTTTGGGAGAAAATCTTCACAATTATACTTGATCAACCTGAAGCCTTGGAAAATATCCAGAGGACTATATTGTGATCTTCGATCAGCTGGAGATCTATAAGTACTTCCTAACCGATCTGCCATCTTGAGAGAGCCAATTGAATGTTTGACTAGTTTAAGATCTTCAGATTTCCTGATCAACCTGAATTCACTAATATCTGACCTACCAGCAATCTTCAGAGACTATATAGAAACGTTATTTGAATTTTATGAACAGTTGAATATCTTAAGAATAATAAATGATCAACCTAAAGCTTTGTAAAATATCCTGAGGTCTTTAAATCTCGGACCAACTGCATATCCTTTAAATACTATCTAATCAAACTTCCATCTTCGAATGATGTCTAATAGATGCCGTTTGAATTTTTGAACAGTTGCAGATCTTCAGAACATTACTTGATTAAGTTGAAAAGTCTTGAACAATACCGAGAGATATCATCGCAAATCCGTGAATATCAGTTATACGAAGATTCCTGTACTTTCAACAAGTTTCTTGAACTTAAACTTAGTTCCATGAACTCAACGCCTACATAAAGTTATCTGAATATGTAGAATCTTCGACGAAATCCTGGGATATTCCGTCAACTTCTTCGAAGTTTCCAGTACTTCAAAGAGTTTTCCATAGCTTACATCTTTTAATTTTTCAATAGGTGCAACTTAATTTCTGCCCAACTTGCTGAACTTTCAAATAATTCATGCGATGTTCCGTAATCATCGTCCACGAAGTTGTTTAACATTCTACGAAATATCCTGAAGATCTATGATGATCCCTGAAGTTTTACAAAGTTCCACGAACTTCTATGAAGTTCTCTGAAATCAAATGAATGTATCTTGACATCTAAGAAGTTCTCTAATGTGACGTGATGTTATGTTTGTCAGCCAAATTATACAATAGGCCATACAGATCATGATGATTATGGTGGATGATTTCTCTCATGAATGCATTTTTAAAAACTATTTTAACGTGCTTCAGAATTACATAGATTACATACTACTGGGTAAAGGTAATGCATACCTTTGTGCGTAACAAATGACAGCGAGCTATGGAAGCCAGGATAGAAAACGGTGACATATAGAAGTTCGTCCAGAAGGAGTATGCATTTTACAAGATTCAGCTCGCTAATCTAAAGAAGAACTCTAAAAACTGCAAATACTGAGTTTTTTCATGAGTTGAGACTAGTACTACGTACTTCCAACCATCTTAACAATGCATTTCAATGGTTTTTCGGTCAACTATGAATGATGTACATCTAACAACGCTCAACCTGATTTTCGTCTATATACAATCTAGATTATAAAATTTAATAAAAATGTTCACGGTTTGTTTCACTGCTAGATCGTATTTTTCACGAGTGCTTCGTGTACAATGATCATACACAAAAAGTGATGTATGTGCGCCATACTTTCGATAAATCAGAATGAATGACAAACGAAGGGAAGAGATATATTTCATAAGATGTGAAAGTTCTGGATTCTGCTACAGGTATTCCAAGATAGATTTAATGGGGTAAAAGAGTGATAAATTTTTTTTCTCGGGATTCACGGGATTTA